CTGCTGCTGTGGAGACGGGTATGGGGGGCGAGGAAGCCAAAAATGCAAGAGGGAGAGGGGTGCCGGGCTCCCGGGGAGCAGAAGGAACGTCTAACTTAGGCTTTTGACAGCAGGTAAGGTTTTTACCACTGAAGTCACTACCAGAAGCCAGAAAGTTTGGCTGCAGCTTAGATGTAGGAGTTCCACAATAGCCCTGAAAGCCCCTTTATTATACGAGCAGCAATACTTTAATTCTCTCTTCCACTGGATAAATAAAAGGTAGCAGAGCGATTTCAGAGGAAAGATAAGCAAGTGACAACAACAAAAAGCTTTTTAGGAAGCACCAGGACATTAGTATGAGAAGTATAAAGACCCACAATCCAAGGGGCATCTCCGGGGAATGTAAGGGCAGAGAGAGAGGAAAGCAGTCAGAAGGAGGGATTTCCAAGACTGTTCTTCATATTACTCTTTTCAGGAAGCGTATGTCATCTAGGAGCGCCAGAGTTCAAGGAAGGTGGTAAGAGAGTGCTGAATGCTCCGTGCAGACGCCAGAGGATGCGAGAAAGAAGTGTTTATCAACCCACTACTGGCAAACCTAAGGGCAGGTAGGGCTACAGAGCTTAGCTAAGGGCTCAGACTCAGGCCACGGTGACACACCTGGCTGCTCCCCAGGACAAGCCTGACTGCACGCTCTCCTAAATATGGTATTCCCAATAGTGATTTAAGCGCAGCAGTGCTGATGTGCCTGGGAGTTACTTATTTCAAGGCAGATCAGTGGCTCTGCAGAAGCTAAGAAGGGTTAGTAGCCAACAACCTTACCTGAGCATCTCCATAAAACTCTCTAGGATGTTCATGGAGAGCAACCCAGGTTGTACAACCTAATTAGGCTAGTGATCTTGCTACAGAATGTAGGACTGAGTAGTTTTAGCACGCTGTTTTAGCCCAAATGATCCATACCCCAGAAAAACATGGGTATTTCCCCTTATGCTGGCAACTCACCGTATTTTAGTTCACAGATCTGACTGTCTTTCTTCTTTAGTTTCTCACAGATCTTTTCCACGGGGATGTGATGACTCATGGGCTTTGATACCTCATTAATGATTTTGGTGGCTGCATCACTTGTGGCCCCAACATAATAACACTACAGGGAAGAAAAGAATGAGGTGGGGATGCATGGAAAAATACTTGTAAAAGGAGAGTTTTCTATCCATCTTCTCTCCTCACTAGGTTTTGCAGCTAGATGTTTACTGTTACAGACCCTTTCCAAGTGACCGCTATAGACAAGCAAAAAAGCAGCGTAACTCTGAGCCCAGGGTACTGAGCAGACATTTCCCATCACGCTGCTTTTAAAAAGCTGTTGAGGCTGGTTGTCTTGTTTCTCAATTTTTAAAAAAACTGAATTGGATTGAAAATAAAGTCTTCTACATTCAAAGAGAAAGACTTTCTGAAGCGTTCCCCCTCTGTGTTTCTGATGGTGTCTCGCTGTAGTTCTCTTCTTAGGAGAGTTCAGGGACTTTTCCTGGGGCTTTCCATTTGCAGATTGCCCTCTGTTTTTAGTTAGGGCAATTTGGTTTTCCTTTATTTAGTTTTCAGCTAAACAGCTGAAGAGCATAAATACTTTAACAGCTTATATAGCACCCCAAATACAGTTTAAGGGACAAGCAAGTCCTACAGTAAATAAAAGCTTTGTAATCCCCTGTGCTTCAGTAACAGGAAGAAACAAGGTCAGCCAGAAAGATGTCTGTTGACATATTGTGGTTTTGTTTTTTTAAGGTGAAGAGGTCGAACTCCTCAAGTCCTCTCTTAGAAAAAAATACAGGACCAATTGTGGCCACAGAGCTAGGAACAACAGCCCCTGGGAAACCATATCATACAACTCAGAAGCACTCATCTCCCCTCATTTGCCAAGTATTCTACAACTTATTCCCTCAAGAGGCAAGTATCATTGACTACTACTACTTACCAGGCGGTTCTCTTTGCCTTTTGCTTCTTTGCAGGATTTCAAGAGCTCCTTTTCAATATTGGCAGGTGTGAATTCAACATCGTTGTCCTTTAGACTCTGGTAGAACCTTCCCAGGAACGTGACACACACTGGAAAGGAAGATGGATGGAGTTATCTGCCACTGCAGTAATCTCCAGGCAGCTCTTAGAGGTCACTTGTAGAAATTTGGAGAGTAGAACTTCTAGAAGCTGCATTAGCAGTCAGTGACTTCACATGTATTTCAGTGAGTCTTTCAGAGCACACGTGAATCAACAATATGCCCTGGTATTTTTGGTGAGTTTTTTGACAATCTGAGAAACTAGATCCATGGAAGTGTCCAGTGGCTTCTGTACACTGTCCTGAGTGAGCAGCAGGATTCAGCTGAGGGATACAAGACAAAAGAGTGCCCGTGCAAAAATGTAAACTTAATTTGCTGTGTTACTCTTGCTGCTTTGGGAAGCAACTTGTCAGACCACAGGCTTCAAAACCAGTTCTGATTGAAAAAGAACTCTCTCTACATAATCCCATTAGACTCCACGTGTGCTGTTTTTAGTAATACGGTATCACTGATTATCAAGTTGGTTCAGTTCATAGGTAAGTTATTTCCACGAGAAAAAGAAATTATGTGATCACACGCTACATCCACTTGGCGTGTTTCTCCTCTCTTCATTCCCACAAGCTTCTGAATCGGTTTGAGATTGAAAGAGGGGAAGTGTCTTAAAGATAATGAAACTCCCAAAAGTGCACCAGCAGTTGAGAGGACAGATCCAAGTTCCTGCCTGTGGGAAGGGCACGTATGACTCAGTCATTACACTTTCCCTTTGGCGGCAGTCACTCCGTGTACGCTCCAGACTAAGCACAGCACACCGGCATGTCGCTGTGGAGGAGGGCAGACAGCTACAGTTACGGCAGCACGCAGGGTCTGTGTGACAGGGTGACTGAGAGAGAGACACTGGGAGTTTGCCAAGTGTCAGACTTTGCTCATTCTGCTGCTCACACAACTCGCCCGTGAACATCAGCATCGCCTGGACCAAGAGCTCTGCGGCCCCACCAATTCCTGCAGCAGGACCTGTGGATGCTCACGGCTTCTAGGTGTGAGACAAGTGCCAGGCACTGGCCTGCCTCTAGAGGAAAGGTACAAGTTATGTCTTTTATGTGATTTCTTTACCCCAACAGGAAGGGATTGGCAAATATTATTGTCATTAGCAACTTGTATTCAACTCTGAACACAAGCTACAGCACAGGAAACAGGCAAATATAGGAAATCGAGTATGACCATCACAAAAGGAAGTAGAAACTTACTGTCATTATATTAAAACTAGAAGCAATTATAAGCGGGCCCATTTAGGAAAACATTTTTTTGTATGCATACAACACCATCATTTACCTCACATCAGTTTTTGTCCCCAGTCACAGACACACACTGATGTCCACTGTGCGCTGTTTGGAAGTGAAAACCTTTGGAAAGAATAAAGATGCTGCAGGCAGTGGTACCGATAACTACAATACAGTAGAAACAAGTTTCCAAGCTAGTGCTGGGACAGCAGCTGAAAGTTTTGATTTACTATGTTCCCTCCCCCTCCTTCTGTCTTACTGTTTCTCTCCCTACAAAAAGGAGGATGGGGTGAGTATTAGTACCACAAATTCCCAAGCAGTCACTATAGCCCCACCTCAAGTTTTTCTTGCTCCGCCTGGGGAATCTGTTCAGTTCCACCATGCCAGAGCAGTTTGATTTGCTGTGCAGCTCAACAGCTTCCACCCCGGAGGTTTTTGTATTTAGGTGGTACGTAAAGCACGCAGTTTGATTTAGATCAGCTGAACACTGCTTCTGGCTTTACGCATTAAATAGAGGACACTCAATCCTCCAGCAGTCAGCGGACAAAGCCGAGGTAAACCTGATACAGTGACAAGTAAGGGGGGAGCCCAGGTGAGTAACTGCACTCGCTTCCTCCTGCTTGGGTGCCCCAGTCACCATCACCCGGCTCGGAAAGGCGACGGGGCAGAGCGCTTCCCCGCGCCCCGGCTCGCAGAGGCGGCGCTGTGAAAGACGAGCAGCTGATCTCTCCCCAGCCTGAAGAGCCGGTCCA